CACGTTAAGTCAATTAAACACAAAATCCACCACCTCCTCGTCGTACACACAAAGACTATGATACACGCCCTCCTCACTCTCACACTCACACCTGCACACCACTACTCTATCTACTCCGCGCTCGACTTCCGTGTCTACATCTCTTGACCTCATGCGCAATCCTCAGCACACTCATAATAACGTCAACAAAGAGTGTGTTAAAACAAAAAAAAAAAAATAGTCACCCCTACAACAATGGATATAATTTCACTCCTGATACCCAAACAAGTTGCCATAGACCTATCATTGCATTGATTCTATGAATGTATGGTAAAACTGTCATTTCTTCTTTGTTGTTTAATTATTTTGCCCAGAAAAACATGCTCCCTCTAACGACGACAAGCCCAAAAGCTACCGAAATCAAAGACTTAAAATATAAGCACGATCAACTCAATTTCAGTCAAACCGATGATATCTCTGTAATATATTTTAGGACCTTAAGATAGGTCCAAGGTTTTTGGTGGTAATGGTTGTCCTTTGGTGGTTGACGTTTTTCGGTATTGTTGAAAACGTTTAACCTCCGAAACCCGTACAGGCGTGCGTCCCTTGGCGCTTGAGAGCGTAGACGACGTCCATGGCGGTGACGGTCTTCCTCTTGGCGTGCTCGCCTGTATGTGACGCCGCGTCACGGATCACTGTTCTCGAGGAACCTTCTTTGAGAGGACACACGGGTTTCTTCGTAGATGAGGCCCGGAGTACGCGCTTGACACCTCCCACGACGGCAAGACGACGGATGGCAGGCTTGGTTGATACCCTGGATGTTATCACGCAACACCTTGCGATTGACGCTTGGCGCCCCCCTTTCGAGACCCTTTTCCGCCTTTTCACGTCCAGTCATGGTAGCGACTTGTCTTGCTGCGAGTAAACGAGAAGATGATCCGCCCTGGCAAACCCTAGCAATGTTAACCTGTTCCCTACCCTCGCGTAGCGCTCAGGCTTGCCGCATCAAGCGGCCGCTCATCTTCACCGCCGCTCTAAGCAAATAAACTTGTTTACACCTTCCTATCCATCAAAGTCACCTGACACATTACACGCATGTGTTTGCAATCACCTTTTGATGACATCATGTGTTAATTGTCCATTTCTCATCAAGGATTTCCTTTGATCACAGGTTAAAGTCGGCCAGGTCTCTGTCCTTGCTTACACCGGGGAAATGGGCGGCGCCAAACGCACACTGTGCCAGCCCACACCTTCTCCGCACGGCCAAGCCCGCTCCTGCGTATAAATTCAGCTCTTGAAAAGCCGGCCAGACTGTTTCCTATCTGTACAGATACAAACAATCATTCGCAATGGCTCGTACCAAGCGACTGCCCGCAAGTCTACGGAGCAAGGCCCCCGCAAGCAGCTGGCCACCAAGCAGCCTTAAGTCTGCCCCTGCTACGGAGGTGTCAAGAGCCCCATCGTTACAGGCCTGGTACTGTTGCCCTTCGTGAGATCGTCGTTACCAGAAGAGCACTGAGCTCCTCATCCGCAAGCTGCTCCTTCCAGCGCCTCGTCCGTGAGATTGGCCAGGACTTCAAGACTGACCTCCGCTTCCAGTCCTCTGCTGTCATGGCTCTGCAGGAAGCCTCCGAGGCTTACCTGGTCGGCCTCTTCGAGGACACCAACCTGTGCGCCATCCACGCCAAGCGTGTAACCATTATGCCCAAGGATATCCAACTTGCTCGCCGTATCCGCGGAGAGCGCGCCTAAGAATTTGGTTGCTAGCTTGCTTGCATACATCAAAATCATCCTCCTCGGCCCTTTTCAGGGCCTAAACTAATCAATATTGAGATGAAAACATGACATGATTCATGCTTTTTTTTTCTGTTTGCTTTAGTTTTAGATGTCAAATGTGATCCCAGCAATGACGGTATTAGAACAATGACATTGCATAGATAGATAGATAGATAGGTATGAACTATTAAGGTAAGCACGAAGCCATGCATGACTGACTTTCAACATGTTGTTAACGCACTTGATCATTCCTTATCGTATACGTTTCGGATGAATACTATGCCAAATATGAAATACTACACACAATATACTACTGTTGTTGCCGGTCGGTCGTTCCGAAACTAATATCAGACATACAGACACACACTGGCCTTAAACGTAAGGTCATATACAAAATTACTAAATAATAATGTGTGACTACAGACTGACTAAAATATTGGCTATTATAATTAAATTAATGACTGACTCAAAGTTTCAACAAGTTTCAACCAAACACACTGTGTGAAGCAATAATTACATAAACAACTGTACATGCACCACACACAATCACCAAACATACCACAACCAACTATAAACTAATATATATATATTTTATTTAATAGAAAACACTAAGAAATATACAATTACAAAATCAAAAGCTTGCGCCAACCATTAAAGCAACGTGTTTATATCCCCGCATATTTTTGATCTTTGTTTTGCTTGTTTATTAGTGTATAATAATAATGTTATATACATTGAAGATCGAATGACACATGCTGTTTATATATATTTTAAATCAATATATAATTGTCTTGACAATTATACAAATCTATACTATCTATAAATAATACCATCACAACACCTACAACATTGACATATATATACGATTACATTTATATAAATATAATATATAATATACATATAATACAATAATATATATATATATATATATCATGTATAACATATACAATTTAAATGTCTAATATATATCTATTCACCCACTCTCTGTCTCTTACATTATTAATATACCCTATTCATATTGATATGCCATGCATAATGCATGTGTTTATATTTGTATATTATGGAAGCCATATATGTTACTTATGATATACAGGCATATATACTTTCATACATAATTTATTTCTCTATATATATATTCACACACAGTATCTTATCATCTCCTCACTTCGTTATCACACACACAACAACACGCACTTCCTCTCATCCTTAATCAATACATACAGTCGGACAGACTAGACATGACAGACAGACACACACACACTCCACAAAACTCAAGTACAAAAAATACGAATAAAAAGAATACCATTATCTCGAAATCTAACGAATTCTGAAACGAATATAACATTATATCTAATATGTTGAAATAATATTACATGTACTATGTGAAACTGAATTAGCACAAGGCAAAGGTTATGTCATTCTATCTACTTAATTGCCAATGTCTTTGGCTCCTAAAGGAGCGATGTTCCTGTAGCGCCGGAGAAACCGAGCAACCATCAACCGAATTTACTTAGAGGAAGTGTACTTGGTGACGGCCTTGGTGCCTCGCTGACAGCGGTGCTTGGCAGTTCACCGGGGAGCAGAAGCTGACGGGGGTCTGAATCCCCGGCTGGTGATGGTGAACGCTTGTGTGTAGTGGGGAAGGCGGGAAGCCTCAGCGGCAATGCGCTCAAAAATGTCATTCACGAAAGAATTCATGATGGACATGGCCTTGGAGGAGATACCGGTGTCAGGGTGTGAGCCTGCTTCAAACACCGTTGTAGATGTAGATGCTGTAGCTGCGCTCTGCGCTTCTTTCTATCACCCTTGGTGATAGACTTTTGGGCCTTACCGGCCTTCTTGGCAGCCTTTCCGGAAGTCTTGGGTGGCATGATTGACAACACTCGCAAGAGGTATTGCTATAAACTCCAAACTATGATTTTTCCTTTTATAGTGCACCACCAGCGCCAGCCTCGGCTGGCCAAGGAAAGCGTGGGCCACGCTATTGGCTCAATCCCCGGCCATCCGCATTGCCACATGTCCCAATGAGACCGTTTCACCTGGAGCCACCTATAAATACCAAGCTTTGGCCGCCGCAACTATGATTTTTGATTCTTTTGAGCAAAGTCATAGCAAACTATCAACATGTCTGGTCGTGGTAAGGGCGGTAAGGTAAAGGGCAAGTCAAAGTCCCGCTCAAGCAGGGCCGGCCTTCAGTTCCCCGTCGGTAGGATTCACCGCCTTCTGCGTAAGGGCAACTATGCTGAACGTGTAGGTGCTGGTGCCCCTGTGTACCTCGCTGCCGTTATGGAGTACTTGGCTGCTGAAGTCCTCGAGTTGGCAGGTAATGCCGCCCGTGACAACAAGAAGACCGTATCATCCCCCGTCACTTGCAGCTGGCCATCCGTAACGACGAAGAGCTCAACAAGCTCCTCTCTGGCGTTACCATCGCCCAGGGTGGTGTCCTGCCCAACATCCAGGCTGTGCTCCTCCCCAAGAAGACCGAGAAGAAGTAAATACTTTCCGTATTACCTCTTTTCAACTACATCGGCTCCTTTTGGAGCCACAAAGACTAAATAAGAGAAATATCTGACCAACCCAACCAGCAACCAAGCAAACCAAACCAATAAATATTCCTGTTATGTTATCTACACTAGCAATAATGGAACTCACAATAAAATACCCACTGTCGATACAATAATGTAGTGAACACTATCACTCATACATTGAAACTGAGCAAAATTGCAACCAAACAATACATACAGGAA